TGCCATACCCACTGTATTTCTACCCCAGAAAGTCAGCTTTGTACCTGTATTGAACCTAAAAGTGAGGAACAGTGGGCATACATTGACCTCCGGTCGTACATCAGTGATCTCCGGCCGGAGACACCAAGGTCCGGCCGGACCTATTGACTTTTTAGGCAGTTTGTACAGCAATCTGCCAGCTGCCCAATTCTGCAGATATTTTGAGCAGTAACTCAAGTTCTATAAATACGAGGCTCATCCTGATGTTAGACAGGTTAAGAAAACAAGATTAAGAGCTAGAGAGAAAGAAACAATATCAAGAGTTTAGAAATATCTTAGAAATATCCAAAAAAATATCAAAGCTACAATTCATCTTTGTCCTTCCATAAGCTCTCATATCAGCCTTGAAGCCCTCATATCATCCATACATACCATACAAGAGCTTGAACTTGGAACTTGATTTGAGACTTGAAGATCATAACTCAAACTTGAGGGTGCTTTGGAATCAAGTTTGATTTACAACAAGAACACCTTCTCTACAAGAGGTAAAGCTTCCTTTGTTTTATTTCAATCTTTGTTCATCTTATTCTTGTGTTTTCATACTATTTTGGGACTGTTTTAAGGGTTGAAACTTGTGATTAAAGCCTACCCAAAGGTGGAGGGGTTAATCACCCTTGCTTGCACCTTATTCCAAGCTTTTATCCTTGTGTTTCCCACTTGTTTTCTCTATTTTTTGCAACTGTTTTGGGGCTGATTTTGGGACTGATTTGGGGCTGTTTTTCAACATCTAAAATATGTGATTTGAAGTTATAAGGGGGGGGGGGGGTTAGCCACCCTTCCTTAAATTTGTTTACTAGCTTGAATTTATTCACATTTTCTAGCTTAAATTGTGCTATTAGGGGCTGTTTAATTTATGTCAATAATTATCATTTTAATATTACGTTTGTGTTGTATTTACCAATTAATCAACTTCGCATAATCATCTCTGCAACCTCCCTCCATTCTTTGCTTATTTCGATTAAATAGTTGTGAAAAATTGAGATTGTTATTCAAGTATAAGAAAGAAAATTTTCCATGCTTAATGGTTTAATCTTTTTCGGAGGTTTATTGCCAACGGCATAAAACTTTTTTCATGCTTAATGGTTTATCTCTTCGGAGGTTCATTACCAAAGGCATACATCTTTCGTATACTAAAGCCAATCTTTTATTTTTTATTTCTTTTTATCATCAGTGTGTTTACTTTTAAGGGACTAACTTTCTAGTTAAACCCTTGGAAATCACCAAGGATAGTGTCATTATAGCTTATTATCAAGTTTAGATTTCAAGTAATTATCGCTCACTTTGGGTTTTTCCTAAGTCATTATCACTCTTTTGAGTTTGACTAGTCCTTGTTGCACATCTTGGGTTTGACTGGAAATCCCTTATCGCTTATAAATGAGTTTGACTCTTCCTTTGTAATTTCTCCCGAAGAAAATAAGGTTTGTTTCTCGGGTTAAGTTGATGCTTGTTTCTCTTTATTATGTTTTGGACTTAGTGGACGTAAATATCACTTTTGGACAAAAAGGAGAAAAGATAAAGAAATGGAAAGGTAATAAAAAAGGGTAATAAAATTGGTTAATTGGATTACAACCGACATAAAGAACTAAGATTCGGTTGGACGTTATATCGAGTCTATTGTGTCAAGGCTTGTCTTACATCAATTCATGATGTTTTGATAAATCTTGAAGCGTCTTTACGGCCAGACGTTATGCTGGAGTCTATTGTGTCAAGACTTGTCTTACATCAATTCATAATATTTTGATGAACCTTGAAGCGTCTCTACTTCCCTTCTTGAATTCACTTCACGATAGGAGGGAGAGATGGTTGTTATGCATTGCATTTATTGATCTTTGTCCTATCGTGTCCAAAATCATCTTGCAAATCAACTTGAAACCATAGATGGTTTGGGAACCGAGTTCGCTCATCTCTTGAGTATTTTCTATGATAGAGAAGGGTATAAGAGACAAACATGGCTAGGAATACCCTGTCTGCACCGTTTCACCTCAGGCACAAAAAACAGATTTCCGCAAGAAAACAAGGTATGATTGGATTTATTTAGGGCTCGACTAAGTCACATTCTGGGTCGGCAAGGCTGTAATAAATTGCAAACAATACACTTTTGGTTGAAAGCAATGATAAAGTGAAACGAAACAGTTCCCAACAAGGCAGACAGAGTAATTCCTGAGAAGCATCGCGCAATCATTGCATATTTGTTGTAATAAATTAGACAGCCCCTTTTAGTTATTATTCATTCGAATTTGTAATAATTATTTATTCGGACACTTGGACATTCGGACCCTCCTTCGCGAGGACAAATATGTAATAAGTTATATGTCTTCCAACCCCCATTCTTTCTCCATTTTATTTATCTGCTTATGATGGTTAGCATAGGGACATCATATTTTCAAATTAGCGTTTCCATGACTTGCATCCATTCGTTTTGCATGCATAAAAGTTCGGCTCATCATATTATTCAAATGTCAAATTCAAACTCCTTACTTGAATACCTGCGCTATCACATGCCTTAAATTGACTCGCATGCCATGTTAGTAGCTGAGCTTATTACTTGCACGTTGTATGTGTTGCATTAGTCATGTTGCATTAATTAGGATCATGCATTTTTTTTCTAATTATTTGCTTTCTTTTGACTCGCCTTCGGATATAAGGTAAGCAATTTTGCTTTAGCATATTGCATGAGTGTGATTGCTGCCATATAAAACATACTACCATGAAACTAAATGCTTACTTGATATACCTGTTTGAATGCCTGTGGATGAAGGCTATTCACTGAAATTGGGATACTTTGATTACTGTATATATATGAGATTACTTTTTCAAGTGGTACATATTCAAAACACTTTTTCAAAACAAACGTTCCAACTTTTCGTGAAATTAGTCTATACTTGTATGCATCACATAGTAAAGATAGCATAATAATCAGAATAAGAACAGATACTGTACATAAAAATCACATCATGATTGGTAGAGGCCGATCTTTGATCGGATGAGTGGGGTGCTCAATTAAAATGACCTTCCCCTCTCTCATACCTAAGTTCCTGAACCAAAACACTTTGATGACGATGGACTAATGGCCTTTGGCACGAGTCACGGGTTTCCTAAATTTTCCAAAATATTTAGATGGCGACTCTGATATCTGGCAAAGCAGTCTATTTTTGGCATTTGATTCAAAACATCCTTTTTCCAAAAGAAATTGCCAGATTTGGACTCTTTGTGTTTCACATTGCACTTGTAAAATTAGATTCAGAACCCACAAGTGGAGTCCGAATTGTAAGGGCTATTGATCTTCTGAAAGGAGCACGAAAAGCCTAGCTACAGGGGCCGAGTTAAAGTGGTTGGTTTTTGGCTATTATCAGGAAAAAGGTTTTTGATGGGATTGGTGACATTGTTTACTTCTGAGCATTTCGTAGCTATGCTACCATTGGAACTACAAACAACATTCTTCATGATAGGCTCATTACTCTCCACAATAATCCCTTGCTTGATGGCATCCTCGATTTGAACCCCAATTTCATGGAGGTCCTTAAAGTTGAACAGTGGGAGGACTATCATTTTCTGCCATAGCCTTCCGTGCAGATTTCTAACAATTATATGAACTTGCTCTTTCTATGGAGGCCTACTTGCCATCATAGCCGCCTTTGCCCTCCATCGAATAACAAACTCCAAAAAGCCCTCCTTCAGTTCCTGATGCGTTGCCTCAAGATCACTAGTTGTGACCTCGATGTGCGTGTTATAGGAATATTGGGCAACGAAGGATTCGGCCAACTCCTGCCAGCTCTGTTTAGAGTCCTCCAATTTAGCATACTAGATGGCAGCTATTCCAGGCATGGTTCGGCTGAATAGTGACAACTTCTGTACGCGGGTTAAACCCATTGGTCATAGGATATTAGAAAACAGACGCAAATGCACCATTGGATCTCCAGAGCCATCGAAGCGGTCAATATACGGCATCTTGAACCGCTTCGATAAAGTAACTGCTGATTCGGCGTGCCCATCCTCTATGTCTGGAATAGAGTTGACCTCCTATGCCTTTTTGAACAGCTTTTCCAGCTTGTTGACTTTAAGCGCTGTCTCGGTTTGATACACCGGGGCTCTAGAAATTTGTGCTGGGATGGGTTCTGCTTGGACTGGGAAAATCGAAACACCCTCGGTTTGTGGATCTTGAGCAGTGGCAGCATTAGCTGTGGTACCGGGCATAGGGATAGCCGCGATGGGTACATGTGATGCAGAGGCCGCTGTTGGCTGCGGTTGTTGTTGCTATAGCCTAGTTATAACCTCGGCCTGACGGGTCGCATCATCCTGGAGGGAGTCAACTGTTTGTTGCAAATGGAGTAATAATTCCTCCAGGTTTGTCGGAGGCTGAGCCACGATAGGGGTAGGTGCCCGGGATAGCTGAATGAACGTAATCTAACTGGTAAATGTCGGAACAGTGGAACGGGTGAAACCTGTCTGGCCCTTCTTTGTCTCGCCACCAGCGAAAGTGAAGCAAACACTAGCTACCTCTGAACTAAATTTTCGACCTGACCAAGTCTATCGACACGAGGCCAGAGTACCTGGGGGATATCAGAGCCTTCTGAAGCTATGGTTCCAAGACTACCTTGCAAAAGAGAAAACAGACAGCACCTCAGCTCAATCTCACTAGAACAAACATGATCATAGCTGAATGAATGTATTCCTCACAGAATTCTGCCTCACAAACTAATACCAACTGTACCACTGATATGAAGTACCCCAGTACAGTTTCACTGTAAAGCACATACTAGTTAAAAGAGAGCCCAGATACCCCTATGAAGGGGGAAGGGTTACTGTGTCCTAGTTTCATCAGGAACTAGGGTTCACTATTTTAATCAAGTGGTTTCATGCAATCCTGCATTCGGGTGAGCATCCTGTCTTAGTTTGGAACAGTCCCTATTGTTTCATTATATGCAGCTAGGCCAATGGTCAAATGGGTACCTCAACAAAACTACCTAATATACTTCTCACACCTAACACCGAAAAGTGAAAGGAGGATCAAACGGTACAGTGGTAGTCTAGATCCAAGGGTTGTGTTCCCAACATGGCAGAGCCCACGATTGGTCAGGCTTTTGGCAAGCTTTTGGGCAAGCCTCTGGCAAACTGTCCAGGAATAGCAGATGGCAAACACAGTGACTTAAGCGCACCAATGCAAATGCAATGCAAAGAACATATAAATTTAGATAAAATTTCACATCATGAAGTCCGAGTCAAGTTCTCTAAATTCCCAGCAGAGTTGCCAGAACTGTAACTCGACTTTTCGTGCTTCTTTTGGAAAACGATAAGCCCTACAGTTTGGACTCCCGTGGTTCTGAATTTGATTCCACAAGTGCAATGTGAAATAGATAAATACAAAAAAGTCTAAATTCAGCAAATCTTTTAGAAAATTGACTTTGAATCAAAATGCCAAAAATTGACTACTTTGCCAGATACAAAGTCGTCACCTAAATAATTTTGAAAAATTTTGGGAATCTGGGACTCATGCCAAAGGCCACTTATCCGTCATCACCAAAGTCGCCTTGGCTCGGGAACTTAGGGACGAGAGAGGAAGGTCATAAATTGAGCACCCCACTCGCCCAATCAAAGATCGACCTCTACTAATCATGATGTGATTCTTATTTACGTTATATGCTCTTGTTCCAATTTATTAGGCTAACTTTACTATGTGACGCACACAAGTATAGACTAATTTGCAAAAATTGGAACACACTTTGATTCGTGTTTTATTTGTAATAGTTTTGTGAATTTGCGACTTCAAAAAGTGGGCTTTAAAATGAAAATTAATCAAACTATCCCAATTCAAGCAACTAGCCTTCATCTACAAGCATTCAAACAGTTATATCATTTAAGCAATTAGCCTCATGGAAGTATGCTTGGACATGGTACACAAACATTCGATGCAAGATGCTAAAACATAAAATTACTCACCTAGTACTCCGAGCTAAAACAAAGCAAAATTATTAGAAAAATATGCATGTTCCTAATTAAATGCAATATGACTAATGCAATGCACACATTATGTATTTTATAGGCTCGGCT